GATATCTTCTTAGCTTCTCATTAATCCCAGGCAGAGCCTCTCCATTGGCCTTCATCAGAAATTTAATCAGATCATTCCCCCTTAGGGTGGCTGCCTTGGGTAGAGTGTTCCATTCATGATCTTTATGGTCTGTTTTGGCACACGTACAACAAGTAAACTTCTCACAGTCCTCATATATTAAATCAATAAGTAAATCCTGGGTTTCACAAGATACAATGTGCTCTTGAGGAGAGCAAAGTGAATAATTTTGTTTACTGGCCGCCATATTTGTTGAATGTTGCTTACCTTCTACGACTTAGAAACGAAAAAAAAACGTGATATAGCAATGCACTATTAAGCACATTGGGCTTTAAACTTGTATTGAAGATTTACAAGACATGCAATGATAAGACAGCTTGATAGTGCACACTATCAAATTACCATTAAAGAAGATTTAACACCAGAAAAAAACTTAACCTACACTCAGTAAATATCAGATAATTTACAGCAACAAAAATAATTTAATGATTAATTAAAACACACACCTACCCCGTGGGGATCCGGGTTAGAATAGGTCCTCAGTACCCCCTTGCTTGTCGTAAAAGGCGACTAAATGGGGCGGTCCTTCGGATGAGACCGTATAAACCGAGGCCCCGTGTCACAGCAGGTGTGGCACGATAAAGACCCCTCCCTGCTCAAAGGCCGTAAGTGCCGAGCATAGGCCTAAATTTGCAGCCCTACACCGGCAATGGTGACGTCTCCATATCAGTGAAATATTCTGGAGAGAGACGTTAAACAGTATACAATCAATCAATCATAAAACACACACCTGTAGATTTTTCTTTCAAATATTCAAGGATTTAAAATAATTATATATTTATCTGGGTTTACACTTTTTAGCTCACCTGAGCCGAAGGCTCAAGTGAGCTTTTCTGATCACATTGTGTCCGTCGTCCGTCCGTCCGTCCGTCCGTCTGTCCGTCCGTAAACTTTTCACATTTTCGACTTCTTCTCAAGAACCAATGGGCCAATTTTAACTAAACTTGGTACAAAGCACCCTTAGGTGAAGGGGAGTTTAAATTGTAAAAATGAAGGGCCAAGTCCCCTTACAAGGGGAGATAATCAAGAAAAGACAAAAATAGGGTGGGGTCATTAAAAAATCTTCTTCTCAAGAACCACTGGGCCAGGAAAGCTGAAACTTATGTGGAAGCATCCATGGGTAGTGAAGATATTAAATTATAAAAATCATGACCCCCGGGGGTACGGCGGGGCCACAATAGGGAATCCAAGTTTTGCATAGAAATATATAGGAAAAAATCTTTAAAAATCTTCTTCTCAAGAACCACTGTGCCAGAAAAGCTGAAACTTATGTGGAAGCATCCTGGGGTAGTGTAAATTCTAAATTGTTCAAATCATGACCCCCGGGGTAGGACGGGGCCACAATGGGGAATCCAAGTTTTACATAGAAATATATAGGAAAAAACTTTAAAAATCTTCTTCTCAAGAACCACTGGGCCAGATAAGCTGAAACTTATGTGGAAGCATCCTAGGGTAGTGTAGATTCTAAATTGTACAAATCATGACCCCCGGGGGTTGGGCGGGGCCACAATGGGAAATCAAAGATTTACTTAGAAATATATAGGAAAAAACTTTAAAAATCTTCTTCTCAAGAACCATTGGGCCAGAATAGCTGAAACTTATGTAAAAGCATCCTGGGGTAGTGTAAATTCTAAATTGTTCAAATCATGACCCCCGGGGATAGGGCGGGGCCACAATGGGGAATCCAAGTTTTACATAGAAATATATAGGAAAAATCTTGAAAAATTTTCTCCTCAAGAACCACTGGGCCAGAAAAGCTGAAACTTATGTGGAAGCATCCTGGTACAGTGTAGATTCTAAATTGTACAAATCATGACCCCCGGGGTTTGGGTGGAGCCACAATGGGAAATCAAAGATTTACTTAGAAATATATAGCAAAAAACTTTAAAAATCTTCTTCTCAAGAACCATTGGGCCAGAAAAGCTGAAACTTATGTGGAAGCATCCTTGGGTAGTGTAAATTCTAAATTGTTCAAATCATGACCCCTGGGGATAGGGCGGGGCCACAATGGGGAATCCCAAGTTTTACATAGAAATATATAGGAAAAATCTTGAAATATTCTCTTCTCAAGAACCACTGGGCCAGAAAAGCTGAAACTTATATGGAAGCATCCTGGGGTAGTGTAGATTCTAAATTGTTCAAATCATGACCCCCGGGGGTTGGGTGGGGCCACAATGGGAAATCAAAGATTTACTTAGAAATATATAGGAAAAAACTTTACAATCATCTTCTCAAGAACCATTGGGACAGAAAAGCTGAAACATATATGTGGAAGCCTCCTAGGGTAGTGTAGATTCTAAATTGTTCAAATCATGACCCCCGGGGATAGGGCGGGGTCACAATGGGGAATCAAAGTTTTAAATAGAAATATATAGGAAAAATCTTGAAAAATCTTCTTCTCCAGAACCAATGGGCCAGAAAAGCTGAAACTTATATGGAAGCATCCTGGAGTAGTGCAAATTATAAATTGTACAAATCATGACCCCCGGGGGTTGGGTGGGGCCACAATGGGAAATCAAAGATTTACTTAGAAATATATAGGAAAAAACTTCTTCTCAAGAACCACTGTGCCAGAAAAGCTGAAACTTCTGTGAAAGCATCCTGGGGTAGTGTAGATTCTAAAATTGTACAAATCATGACCCCCGGGGGTTGGGCGGGGCCACAATTGGGAATCTAAGTTTTACATAGAAATATATAGGAAAAATCTTAAAAAGTCTTCTTAATAACCACTGGGCCAGAAAAGCTGAAACTTGTGTGGAAGCATCCTAGGGTAGTGTAGATTCTAAATTGTTCAAATCATGACCCGGGGGGGATGTTAGGTCAGGGCCACAATGGGGAATCAAAGTTTTACATAGAAATATATTGGACAATCTTTGAAAAGCTGAAACTTATGTGAAAGCATCCTGGGGTAGTATAGATTTCAACTTGTCTAAATTATGATGAGTGGGGTTGGGTGGGGTCACAATATGTATAACAAGGTGGAAATCTAGTAAAGAACAGAATGGTCAAAGCTTCTCAGGTGAGCGATGTGGCCCATGGGCCTCTTGTTGAATTTTCGTTTTTTAATGCTTTTAATTTTGTAAAAGTTGTTCATTTAATGTATGGGACATTTTAAAACCAATCATCGAATTAATTCTGATTTACTGCTTCACGTTAATGTTATCTGTGCTTTTACCATGATTCTTGTCGCCCGCGTGGCGCAATGGTTAGAGCATCTGCTCTCGAGTCGTGGAGTTGATTCTTAAATCGCGGGCCCGAGTCCACTGTGGGACATGGACATCGGTCCTTCGGAAGAGACCGTATAAAATGAGGTCCTTTGTCGCAGTAGGTGCTGGCATGAAAAAGGTCCCTCAATGCTCGATGACCGGACAAAATTTGCGGCAAGTGGTGGCGTGTACATATGAGGGCGACTTCGGTTCGCACCCGAGTACGTACTCGAGTTACTTGAGTTTCAATCGAACGACCATAGTTACTACTCAAAATACGTCATATGACCTAATGAACTCTACCCAAGCTAACCCAGCCATACAGTAGGATTACTAGAGTTTCGATATGGCGGCGTCGAAAGAAAAACCCGAACGTAGGAATTAATTTTTACTAAATATTATGTTTAGCACTGCTTATCCCTAAAAGCAAACTTCGAAACGCACTTTCTACATGAACGCTTTATAATTTATATGAATATATGTTTATTTGATTAGATTTTCCAGGCTTACTGCCCGATAACAGAAGAGACATAAATTCAAATTCGAAACCAAAAAAAAAAAATCAGAGCTGAAAAAGAAATACATTTCAACTGCAGCAAAAGCTATAGAAAAGATTAACTCAACAGATGATGTCAAAATGGACCTATTTGACCGCCTTTTAAAACTCATAGAGGAAATTTATTTTTATTTTCGCTACCCTTCAAACTCATATGAGTTCGCTTGAAAACCACATGTTTGTGTAAACATCCGGTCATGTGACGTCAACCAAGAGTTAATACTCAGGTATGAATCGAAGTCGCCCTGAGTGAAAAATAATCGAGAGAGACGTTAAAAAATATACAAACAAACAAAACAAAACCATGAAACTATAGCAACTAAAATCTACCCGAGGTGGAAAGACGTAAAGAAAATGTATGAATTACCAATGCACCAATGTAGGAGTGTCCATTGTTTTGGACCTTTCCTTTCTTAGGTTCAATCTTGTAACAATCACTAGTTTAAACTTTAGGGTACCCCTTTGTTTATTTCAAGTTCTGCCCTTCGGGCACCTCTTTGGTAAGCACCCAGAATTCCTTGCAGAATTCTGGCTGACAGGACAGGTAACAATAGCTAGGTATTCCCGACAGAGCTGTCCACCGTGATAGACTATGTAATGGGTCAGGACAGATTAGGTTAACTTGTGCACCAGCTTGTGCCAATAACTTAGAGTTTACTACATTTGAGTATATTTCTGCACGGAAAACAGACCGTATTAAGTATATTTTGCAAGTATTTTTAGTCATGATTCCTTTTACTTTTAATATTCGTTATATTAATTTACCTTGACAGGCAGTCATCAATGACTTACCTGTGTGTGCGTTCAGGCGTGACGTTAGCGAGAGTGTTTGAATAGGTTTTCTCATCAGAAGTTTTATCGCTGTTAGTGTAATTCTATACTTTTAAAGAACAACCTTTCTTTATTTTATTGCATTTCTGTTAGCTGTATTACTTTTTTATTTAAACGTCTGAGCGGAAGTAAGTGACCGGAAGTATTGTCAGCCATTTTGTATCTATTTCAACTGTAAACAAACTGTTGATATTGAGAGTATCTCATTGTTTATGTTATATTGAACTCAAGATAACTAAATGGTTATTAATTTAAGCCAGTATAACTATATTATAGTATTGCCAGATGTAGAATACATAATTATTTACTGATAAAGGAAAGTTGATATTTTAGCACCATACTGAGGTGTTCTTGGTTCTAGAGGTGATGACAACGATGATGTCGATGATGTCGATGACGATGATGTCGATGATGATGATGATGAAGACGATGTTTAGGCGCTGGAATCATTAGCAGTCGTGAATCAACACAACTGAACCTCAAACAACAGTCTATGACTACAGTTCCGGAAGTTTGGAGGATAGTGTTGATCCGAATTGTGTTGACTTTCGTATTGATGTTGACAATACTGGCAATGTTTTTTGTTTGATTTATTGAGAACAGGTGTTGAAACAGTTGATTAAAAATCTGGTGATTTTTTTTTCATTGTTAATAACATTTTTTGGTACGATCATTTAACCATGGCCATAACTTTACCTAGTAGTTGAAGCTAGGGCTTTGATATTTCATAATTGCATTCATTAAGGCCTTTCCATAGGTATAAATATTTTGCACCTGACCTTGGAGTTTGACCCACTTTTTAAAAACGTTATCTTTCGCCATAACTTTTGAACAGTTAGTATTAGGACTTTTTTATTTCACAGATATATTCACTGAGACAAGCTCTTTCTTTGGGTAACAACATTTTTGATCTCTAGACCTTGCAGTTCGACTTACGTTTGAGAAACTTAAACATTTGCTATAAACTGTTATATGTGCACATCAATGTTTCACAAACACATCTTGTTTTTTAAATTTTACTGGGTCAATACTTCTTTAATTTTTTACTTCAATTCTTTACATTTTGTAAAATTTATTCATTTAGTGTAGGGGAAATTTTCAAAACAACCATTGGATACATTCTGATTTATAACTATACCTGTTTATGTATCTGTGCTCTCACCATGATACTAAAGCAACAGAGATCTATCCGAGGAGGAAAGACGTCAAAAAAATGTCAACTTCAAAGAACTTGTGTGTACAAGCAGAGTGTTTTTCAACAAAATAATTTTACAAATAACCAATGAAAAGGTAAGTAAATTTACGAGTTCCATTAAATATTGAAAAAGCAGTTGTCAATGATATCAAAAAGCCTGGACTTAAATTTATCGTGCGGAATGGTTGTGTATAAAGTTGAAAAGTCGTAAGTTTTTAATCTGTTGATTTTGGTGAAATCTTGTGATTTTAAATTATCCAAAAATTCCTTAGAATTTTTAAGTATCCACATCTGATTTTCACCATGCACTTTTTGAATATATTTTTGCATAGTACTCTTGAAGTTTCTCCTTCACTACTGTTAATATCTTAGTGAGGAGTAAAGAAAGAGGCTTGGTTGAACATTTACTGGAACCCGGAATGTATCTTTGTTTGTAAGATAAATAGAACATAATCACAAAGACTTTGTGCCTTTTATTTCTGACATCAATGTATCTCTCATATTACTTTACATAAACAAGTGCTTTATGCATGAGACAAATTCCACAAATGCTTTTTAACCCATACTCCCATCAATCATTATTGGCATTTTTTTTCTTTCTTAGAATAAACACTGCAGGAACAGGACTTACTTATCAAACACTTGTCAATGTGTATTTTTCTATGATATTCTACAATTACACAACCTTTAAAAATTACAAGATTTCTTGGTATAATAAATTTACATGTATACCTTTAATTGCATCAAATTACTTGAATAAATAAATAAATATGCAATGCATAGCAAAATCTTCCAAAGAAGATATTTTACAATTCATTAGTAAACCAAAAGAATGAAATTCTTTTGGTTGTCTGTACTAATTCAATAGATCTACATCACACGGTCTAAATAAATCTGCAGACTTTCGAACATTGAATACATCACAATAGAAATTTGTTAATGATGAAAAGTTCTATATGGTAATATTGCATAACAATTATATATCAAACCAGTTGGTACCATTATTTATTACATTTGCAACAGTGAAATACTGTGATTTATGAATTGAATGAAAGTAATATTCTGTCACCGTGTGAATGGTTATCAAAGTAAGTAAAAAATAATTTCTGACCTGTCATGATATAGACATAGTGATTTAATCTTCCTGATAGAGACTAAAACTGCCAATTTCTTCCCAAATATGTTTCAAAAAATCCATGTTACATCGTTTTCAATCTCACAATTGCTAAGCTACAATGTCTGAACTGGTCGCTTATGACGACACTGTGTTAAGAAAAAGACAAGAGGCGAAGGAAAATCAAAGAAAATGTAATAAACAGAAAAATTTTTGTCATTGAATATAGAAAAAATTTCACTCGTGAGACAGGAATTTTTTTTCACTCGTGAAAATATACCAAAACCCTGCTCCATTTGTGTCAAAGTAATAATATATTTATGGGATTCAAATAATAATTATATTCATAAATAAATTAATCAGCCTTTATTGTAAGTTTGATAAACCAAAATATAAACATTCTACATCTAATGCCTTATTGAAACATAATCAACACATCTGTATTTCCAATGAAATTTATGTAATATACATGTATTAATTTTACGCTTAGTACTGAAACACAATGACAAGTCCTTCATAGTATCCCATCCACAGTGTAGATTTGTATAGTGACAGTGAGTATAGAAGATTCACTTTAGTCTCTGCAAAAAGTTCAAAAACTCTCCGTCAGGACTCAGCAGATAGATTTGGTTGTTAGATGAGTGGGTAGCATGAAAATTGCAGTGGGAGTCACACACTACGACATCTGGCTCATAATCAGAATTTACATTCTTTACTTAAAAACTTGGATAACTCCTTTCCTTTATCCCAACCTGAAGCGTAGACTTGTATAGTGATAATCTGGATGGACAGTTCACTTCATTTTCTGTCAGTAAGAACTTCAGGAACTCTCCATCAGGACTCAGCAGATGGATCTGTTTGTTGTTAAAGTCATTAACAAGGATGTTACACAGGGAGTCACACACTGCATTACCTGGCCAAAAGTCCTTTGTCATATTTTTTCCACAGTAGATAGACTTAACACATAATTACTAGTTCACCTGTGTTTTCATTTGTACGGTTCACAACACAGATATCACTGTTTCCGTTCTGTGTGACTCTGAAGAGCAATGTGAAGAGTCTAGTATGACCGTCCTCCTGGTACTTACTGTAGATTCCTTATTTTTTGCGAGTACTTATTATCGCGAATGGGCTCTTCAACGTCAAATCGCGAGAGTACTAATTCGTGAATGGACGGTTGGTCAAGAGATTTTACATAGATTTCAACACCAAAAAAATAAAGGCGAGTAATTTTATTTCGCTAGTAGTGTCTCTCGCGAAATTACGCGATAATTAATTCCACGCTTATATTTAGGAATCTACAGTATACTCATGAATGACGTCACCTGTCACTGTGATGTGTCTCACCAGACGTCTGCTGTGTGATTCTAATTTAAAATCATCTGATTCCTCATCCAAGAAGGTGACTAGAGGTCCCCTGTCTACTGACTGACAGATTCCTCCTGGTTGCAGTGGATCTGCACTGATGAAAGTAGAGACATGTCCTGATGGTGATAAACAGCTGATGAAATTGTCACTAAAATCAGTGAAATAAACCTCACCAGTTTCAGTCAAAGACATGTCACTAGGATTGATATATTCTTTATGTTTTTTTTATCTTTGCTTCTTTGTTTACATGTTCAATATACTACTAGTAATCTGACTCTGATTGTTTCATATAACATTGATCCTCACCAGATACTCTCAGCAAAACTACCTCTTTCTCTCCGTATTCAAATGAGCTTGTTTCAGTCAAATACACATCATCTAAATCAAACGACTTTCCAATTAATTTTTCCAGTACAGCGTCAATGACTTCTCCTTTACTGTATCTCAATTCTTCACATCATCTTTATAGGCCAAAAGAAGGTGAGCTTGGTATCTATAAACCTAGCTGCAGAACTGTAGTTCTCCAAAAATATTTTGACAGACCGGAGAGGTCCAATGCCACCCATTGAAAAATACTGTATATTTATTGCGCACAAAAAAGTGCGCTGTTTATCGATTTATTTTTCAACGTTTTTAAATCTATCATCTCACAGTATTACTAACCGTGTGTTCCTTACATATTTTTTTCACTGTTTCCACAACAAAACACTCCTTTTAATTGTTGTAAATAGCCCTCCTGGCTATGGCGTGTAAAAAGTTTGTTAAATTTGATAATCATGTGATGTATAATGTATATTCAAAATCTTGTGATGTATATTCAAAATCTTGAGATGTATATTCAAAATCTTGTGATGTATGTTCAAAACTTTGTGATGTATATTCAAAATCTTGTGATGTATGTTCAATATCTTGTACTGAATATTCAAAATCTTGTGATGTATATTCTATAATCTTGTAATGTATGTTCAGTATCTTGTGATGTATATACGAAATCTTGTGATGTATATTCGAAATCTTGAGAATATTTTGAATATACATCACAAGATTATCGAACATACATCACAAGATTATAGAATATACATGTACATCACAAGATTTCGATTATACATCACAAGATTTCGATTGTACATCACAAGATTTTGAATATACAACACAAGATTTAGAACATACATCACAAGATTTTGAATACATATCACAAGATTAACGAATTTAGCAACATTTTACATGCCATATCTGGCCCTGAAAGCGATATCATCGAAAATTTGTCTTTTTATACTGCCATATTGGTTTGCAAGATAATTCAGCTTAAAACTATCGTGGGAATAATAGTTTTATGTATTTCACAGAAATTTGTATTTTTAGTAACCAAGGAAACACTGTTCATCAAAATCAAAAAACTAATACATCGTATTTTGTATCTTAGTGTAGTCTACTTTTGTGCCAAGTCATGTTGAAATTAGCTGCAGATCTGTAGCGCTATGGTTTTATGTATTTGTTTTTGACCATAACGCTTACAGATCCCAAAGAAGGTGCGTTATTTTTTGCGCATTTTTTATGAAGAATTTTTCTACTTTCCAGCATCGGTAAATTAACTACCTTTCATTCCCTAATTTAAGGCACATAATTTAACTAATCTGTATATTTTATTCATTTACCTACACTTTATAGTCGTCTCTACAAGTGATAAACTCGCTTGATTTAAATTATATGTTCGATTGCTGAAAATTCACTTCAAGCAAGTTTATTGCCTGTAGAGACGACTATAAATGGTTGGAATGTGAATGAAATATACATATTGGCTACAGCATGTGTCCAGATTTAGGAAGTGAAAGGTAGTTGATTGACCAATGCTAGAAAGTGGAAAAATTCTCCTCAAAAGTGCGCAAAAAATATTGCGCCGTAAATTGCACCTTTCTTTGCATTACGTGATCTGTAGCGTTATGGTCAAAGACAGACATATATAAAACCATAACCCTTCAGATATGCAGCTATATTAAAATTAGACCAAAAATGTAGGATAAGTAGCATTTTAAAAGTATTTCACAAAAATTTCTATTTTTAGTAACCACATCAACACTGTTCATCAAAATCAAATACCGATATATAGAATTATGTATCTTGTATTAGTCTTCTTGTGTGCCAAGTTATAATGAAATCAGACTAAAACTGTAGAAGTAGCATTTTAAAAGTACCTCACAGAAATTTCTAATTTTAGTAACCACGACAACACTGTTCATTGAAATCAAAAACTGATTGATAGAATTAGTCTCCTTGTGTGCCAAGTTATATTGAAATCAGGTAAAGACTGTGGGAGGAGTAGCATTTTAAAAGTATTTAACAGAAATTTCTATTTTTAGTAACCATGGCAACGCTGTTCATTAAAATCAAAAAACGATAAATCGAATTGTGTATCTTAGTGTAGTCTCCTTGTGTGCCAGGTTATATTGAAATCAGGCCAAAACTGTGGGAAGAGTATTATTTTAAAAGTATTTCACAGAAATTTCTATTTTTGGTAACCACTGCTACACTGTTCATCGAAATCAACAACCGATACATAGAATTATGTATCTTAGAGTAGTCTCCTTGTGTGCCAAGTTATATTGAAATCATCCAAAACTGTGGGAGGAGTGGCATTTTGAAAACAATTTCACAGACAGACAGCTAGACCGACAGACGAACGGACGACGGACGCATTACTATCGCATAAGCTCTTCTGGTTTCTGACCAGTAGGGCTAAAACTGATGTTTGTTTTATAGACCAGCGAAAGCAAGCTGGGGAAGAGATGTGTCCTTTGTTAGGCAATTTGTTATGAAAGGTTGCGAAGTTACAGTTAGAAAAATGGTTAAATATCTTAACAATAATATTATGATTAAATCCCTAAAATATTGTTTAATTCAGACTTTTAACATAAAAAAGGCCCTTACAACTATATCCATATTGGATAAACGACGTTCCTAAGACAGAGGACGCGGGTTGTGATGGCCACCATTCTCGTTCTGGGAAAGGATATCATTATCCAACCATCCTATTTCCGAGATTTGGTCATTTCTGTAGAGTAAACTGTTTTTATTATAAGATTCAACTTGCATGGTTAGAAATGTTAGAATCGGAAAAATATTTTAGCGTCTATTACCGGAATGCTTCTGATCATTTCATGTGACCGCCTGGATCACGTGATTCGCGCATACGCAGAGAGGTGGCAAATATGCATTAAAATCAGAGAGGGATACAGTCATAAGAAAATTAAAAAAAATCCCGATCATAATTTAACAAATGGATCCCCGTGTTGGGTGTGTCATTGATAAGGATGCTATAGGGGTATTCGCACTCTACATCATCTAATCTAGAGATCATTGTCAAATTTTACATTCTGTACTGAAACACTTTGACAAATCCTTCCCTATATCCCACCCATAGAGTAGCTTTGTACAGTGATAATCTGGATGGATGGTTCCTGTCATTTTCTGTCAGTAAGAACTTCAAAAATTCACCATCAGGACTCAGCAGATGAATCCGTACATCATTAATGTCCGGAACAAGGATGTTACAGAGGATATCACAGACTACATTACTTGGCCAAAAGTCCTTTGTAAGATTTTGTCCACGGTAGATAGACTTGATATGGCCAGAGGTAGACAGAATCATTAATCCACCTGTAAATTCACTTGTACGGTTCACAACACAGATATCACTGTTACTGTTCTGTGTGACCCTAAATGGATATGAGAACAGTCTGGTCTGACCGTCCTCCTGGTACTCATACTCATGGATGACGTCACCTGTCACTGTGATGTGTCTCACCAGACGTCTGCTGTGTGGCTCTAATTTCAAATCATGTGATTTATCTACCAAGGTGACAAGTAGTCCACCTCCCACTGACTGACAGATTCCTATTGGTATCAGTGGATTTGTACTGATGACTGTAGACAAAGTTCCTGATGGTGATAGACGGCCGATGGAATAGTTATTATAGTTATTATCGGTAAAATAAACATCACCGTTTTTAGTCACACACATGTCATTAACGAAGATATTACATTTTTGTTTTTTCTCACCTGCTTTGTTTACTTTTTTAATGTAATTTGAGTCGTCTAATTGTTTTATGTAACATTGATCTTCACACGATGCCCTCAACAAAACTATTCCTTTCTTTCCATATTTAAATGAGCTAGTTTCAGTCAAACTGATATCATCTAAATCAAACGACTTTCCAATTAAGTTCTCCAGTACTGCATCACTAATTTCTCCTTTACTGTATCTCATGGATGGTGTACAATTCTTCAAATCAACATCTAATCCATACAGCATTTTTGTCAGTTCCCTGTGGTTGTCAACAAAACCGTGATCTGACATGACACTGTTGTTTTCCGAAAAGAACAGAACTATTTCTGCAATTTCTCTCTTCTTTCTGCATAAATCAGATTTTGCGACATCCAATTTTTCATTGCTTTTCTCCAAATTCTCTTTCAATTTCTGCTCATTATCTTTCCTAATTTCTGACAGTTTTGTTATTATCTCATCAACATGCTTATGAAGCTTTTTAATCTCAGCATCACACTGTTCTGTATTTTCTGTGATCTTTCGTGAAATATTCTCTAACTTCTCATCAATCCCAGGCAGATCTTCTTCTTTTATCTTCTTCAGAAACCTAGGCAGGCCCCTCCTTCTTTGGCTGGCTGCCGTGGGTAAAGTGCTCCATTCATGTTCTTTATGATCTGTCTTGGCACACCTGGCACATACGAATTCATCACAATCTTCACATATAACATCAATAGGTAAATCGTGGGTTTCACACATTTCAATATGCTCTTGAGGAGAGCCCAGTGGATATTTGGCTTTACTGGCTGACATTTTTGTTGAATGTGTCCTACCTATTCAAATGTATGACCTAGCATTGAGATAAAAATTAGGTAGCTGCAAATTAGACTTTAACTCGTATTACTTATCAACAAAACATGCAATGAGGGTACATCGATACTATATCAAATTATCATCAAAAGCAGGATAATTGTAAAACTTTGATGAGAATGAAATCAGATTGAAAAATGTATCAGCTATTTTACAGTGACAAATTAATAAATAAAATTGTGCGATACATATATCCACCTGTAGATTTTTCTTTAAATTGAGCTTTAAAATCTTTTTGCATTTTACTTGATCCAGACTTTTGTAATGTTTATATTTCATTGCCTTACATTTTATACAAAATCAAGCATTTAAAGTTATTTAAGGGGGCGAAAGATGTATGGTCATGTGACTCAGTTGAATTACGTCATAATCTCTGATAAAATATATACAAAACGAGACTGAAACCACAGTACTAATGTATAACTTTTTCATTGTTTGCGTTCACCGTCTAGTATAAAGATATCTGAAAACATTTAAAATTTCTTGCATGGTTAAAACGGGTTGTATAAAATTATTAAAAAAAGGGCCATAATCTTTACATAGTGGGGTATTTTGTGAATTTCAGAACGCCAAAAATATTTTTACATGGTTGTTGACGGAAATGTTCTGTGGGTATGTCTTATTTCGCTTTTTCAGAAATGTGTGACGTCATAGTTGGGTTTTCCCGTACTCGAGAAATGTAAACATGACACGTTTTTCTCATGATCATGTCTCGTTTAACTTTGCCCCGTGCAATATTGAGCTCAGCTTCACCAATCGATATTCTTACAGTTAATCAATAAAGTGACGAACTTGAACTTCGACATAAATTTTTAAAAATTGAATGATAGGATTTTTTTGCAAATTTATATTTTTCATGTGTCTAAAAGAAGTTCGTAAATGTCCATCTCCAGATGTGGTGTTACAAAAGAATCTTGCTTTTTCGAATGTTTAACCCTATTCATACTCTAAAAATTTTAAAAGACACATTTCCGCTGGCATTTTTTTTTAACGATGCTAAAAAAAAATTCAATTATTAACCGAGTATTGGACCCAGAAACACTGAGAATCAAAACTCCGCCCAGACACTGTGGGGTATGGTACTTGTCACTTAATATCTCAGAAATAAGTCTAGAAACCTACTGATATGTCTGCTTTATAGTATGTGGGACATATTAAATAAGATATATACAAAATATGAAAAAAAATAAATGACAAGTATTTTTTCAGCTAAAGGTCCTTCCTCCCCTTAAAGAAAGATTTGAAAACACCCATCCATTTAAATTCTGATTTACAAGTGCATATAAATACTAGTCGTGCTTCCACAGTGTTACATGTATACTAGCAGTTGTAATCTACCACAGGAAGTAAGACGTAAAGAAAATGTCAAAGATACCCATATATGCCCGACAGGACTTTTTATTGGCATCTGTGATTTAACTGTGAGGACGCAAAACAAAAGCTTAACTAAATCACTATGTCTGCATGCAAGATTTACTTCATTTCCATTCCCTACAAAAGATCACAATCACATAATCTTGTATCTCTTTTTTGACATCAGTTTATCTCTCATATTCGAATACATAAACAAGTGATTTATATTAGAGACAATGTTTTTAACCTACTGTTTCTTCCTTATAATACATGTAGACACCATTGTGCATTTTAACGTATTAATCATGTATATTAAAGGAAAAGAATTCGTTAAAAGCTTGTTTATATGTCTCTTACTAAATACAAAGCCTTTTAAAATTATTAAATATAATAGAGAAAATGCAGTTTTCAACAAAAAAAACTTGGATAGACAAGATAAATATAATGCAAGGTAAATTCTTCTTACGGGGAAAATGGCAAATTCTTTAGTTATGATAAAAAGATCTATAGTAATATTATTGACGCATTTCCATTCTTAAACAAAAGAAACAAAATAAAGCGGTTAGTACCATTGTATGTACTATATTTTGCTCCACTTTATGACTGCTTCAGTCTTCCATAAAAAATATTTAGTTGTCTTTTAACAAATGCATTCATGGGCTCCAAATAATAATCATAATTAATGAAACATTATATCAATTAATTAGCTAAGGTGGAACTGGAAAAAATATGTGTGGGATTGTATATGCATTATTGTCAAAACAAAAGACAAACGAAGGGCATAAAAACAACTATGTTAAAAATCATCATAATTTGTTTTATTTTATTTATTATAATACTTTATTCGTTATAGTGACTTGTGTAATACATGAAATAAGTCATCTAATATTTGGACCTATATGTCGATCATCATCTGGATTTACGTGACGCAGCGGTAAATTTCTAATCAATTGCAAGAGTCGCATAATAAGGAAATGGTTCTTACATCGTGGGTTCGAATTACACCGAGTTCTCAAAAGGAATGTTTAAACAACAAACAAACAAAGCATTAAATGACTAGCTGAAACTTATTGTAATATGATCAACAAAACAAGTACTAGTGTAAGACAGTTAAGTAGTAAAACTAGCATGACAACGGTCTTAATTTCCAATATCATATCAATAATAAACGTGTGTAAAAGTTAACACTGAAACACAATGGCAAGCCTTTATTGTATCCCAACCTTGGCAGTTACTACTGAATGGAAGGTACATCTCATTCTGTGTCAGTACGAACTTCACAAACTCCTCAGTCGTTAGTGTTCAGCAGATGAATATGGTTGTAAGGTGGATCTGTATTGGAGGTGAAAGCGTCGTACACTGTGGTATCTGGATTAAATCCAATTTTCAAATTCTATAGGTTTTCAGTTCTGTACTGAAACACTTTTACAGTTCCTTCTTTAAATCCCACCCACACTGATGACTTGTACAATGATAATCTGGTTGGATGGTAGTCTTTGTCTTCTGTCAGTAAGAATTCAAAAATTCCCCATCAGAACTCAGCAGATGGATAGGTACATCGTTCATGTCAGGAACAAGGATGTTACAGAAGGAGTCATATTCTGCATTACCTGGCCAAAAGTCCTTTGAGAGGGTTTGTCCACGGTATACAGACTTCATACGACCAGAGGGAGACATAATCACTAATTCACCTGTAGAGGTACGTGTACGGTTCACAACACAGATGTCACCGTAACTGTTCTGTGTGACTCTAAATGGGTATGTAAATAATCTTGTTTGACCGTCCTCCTGGTACTCATACTCATGGATGACATCACCTGTCACTGTGATGTGTCTCACCACACGAGTGCTATGAGGCTCAAATTTGTAACGACCTAATTCCTTATCAGCCAAATTGACAAGTAGTCCACCGTCCACTGACTGACTGATTCCGTTTGGTTCCAGTGGACCTGTACCGACGACTGTAGACACAGATCCTGATGGTGACAGACAGCTAATTGAACTGTTATTATAATCAGTAAAATAAATATAACCAGTATCAGTCACACACATGTCATTAGCAGTGATATCATATTTTAGTTTTTTTCTCCCCTTCTTTGTTTACTTGTTCAATGTGATCTGACGTTAATTGTTTTAAGTTACACTGACCTTCACACACCGCCCTCAACAAAACTACCGCTTCCTTTCCATATTTAAATGAGCTACTTTCAGTCAAAGCGATATCATCTAAATCGAAAGAGTTTCCAATTAATCTCTACAGTACAGCATCACTTATTTCCCATTTAATGTATTTCACTGAATGTTGTCAGTCCTTCATATAAACATCCAGGCCAGAAAGCATTTTTGTCAGTCCTCTGTGGTTGCCAATGAAGCCATAATCGGACATGGTGCCATTGTTTTCCTCCATGAATTTAAATGTTTCTGTAATTAATTTCTTCTTTTCTAATCCAGTTTTTAAAACATCCAACTTATTGTTTTTTTTTTGGCAAATTGTCACTAAATTGTTTTCCTTATGTTCCATCATGTTTGTCAGCCGTTCCATTATCGCATTACAATGGTCTTGTAGCTCTTTGATCTCAGAGTCACACATTTCTTTATTTTCTGTCATCTGTTGTGTCACTTTCTCTAGCTTCTCAACAATCCCAGGCAGATCCTCTTCTTTGATCTTCCTAGTAAGAAGTTTTATCAAACCTCTCTTCCGTTGGCTTGCTACATTGGGTAGTGTATTCCAATCATGATCTCTTTGATCTGTTTTGGCACACTTTCCACAAATGAATTCATCACAATCCTCACATATAACATCAATAGGTAAGTCATGGGTTTTATACATTTCAATATGCTCCTGAGGAGAGCCAAGTGGGTATTTTGGTTTCCCTGCTGCCATTTTTGTTAAAAATTTAAGGATATAACAAAAAGTATTCAAGCTCAAATCGTCATTAAACAATATAAACATGTATCTCCAAAACAGCAGAGGTATGGACGTTTCCTGCCCATTTATGACCTAAAAATGAGATAACAGGTTTAAAAGTATCAAGGAAATAAAAATCAGAATGGACTTTAAACTCACATTTCAAATTTATAAGACATGCATGCAATGATAAGACATAGTAAATCGTATACACTATAAAAAGGAAAAATCGGTCGATAATTTAATGTATATGTAAAGGACTTACAATTCGTATGCCATGAAAAACTTTAATCAGCATTTAACTTAATGATAAATTGTATGTGTTGACAAGGTAATTGTATTGACCAAAGAACCTACGAAATGATGACTTTAAACGATACCATACGGTTCAAATAAATTTGAAGATCTCAAACTAAATCTAGCACACCAGAAAGTGTTCATATATAATTGAACTACAGTAATAATTATGCATTATAATTCTACAAGAAAAGCACCTGATAAAGCGGTTGGCTAGTTCAATAAAATATACATGAAACTATAATAATGATTATAATAAATCAAATAATTAATATTATATTAAAGAACAAGGTTTACATATTCCCTTTTTGGTTTCTCGAATTTCTGAAAAACTGAAACAACTTAATTTTACTTAACAATGGATTGAATATTACTCAGACCTTTTCTAATTGCATGTCTATCAAAAAATACGTAATTTTCTGGCTAACTTTAGTCAATGTATAATTATGACGTCATCATGAGATGCGTTTATTTCCTCATATTCTGTAAAAGTCTACAAAAAACTTTCAATATTTAATAACGAGCGCATCTCTGATCTGAAATGAGCAACAAACAAATGATAGAACTGATTCAGGGGATTTCAAGACATGTTTTATTTTGTATAGAAGAGGTTGCGCTCATATTATTTTTCTTCTCTGAAAGTACTCAAAAATGCCTGTATACATTAAAATTCAAGAACATTGCCATTGCATGCCTAGAGATCCGGAGTTTAAGGAGAAAAATTTTAATAGGAAATGAAAGTAATAAATCTTTACTTTATTTTGATATTTAAAATGGAATATAAAGTGTAAGTCTATAAATTGGTATATAAACTGGGCCGTTTTATGCATAAATTGAACCGAGATCTTTATCAACCTTTTTAACAAAAACATGTAAAAAATGACAGATAACATCTCGCATTATAGCTTGTAGGACTATTGAAAGCAAGTTGATAATGGAAAACATTCTACATCTAATGACTTACTGTAGATCACTTAATTTTCGCGACACTTTATTTTCGCAAGATAGTCATTGACTCTTAATAAGCGAGACAAAATTTTCACGAATTGTGGTCGTTGCTCTATATAATCTTAAGGAATTCTATTATACGCGAGAATTAATTTTTTGCGAGTATACCGTATCGCTTAATTACGCGAAAATAAAGTTCTCGCGAATAAAAAGTGATTTACAGTATATTCCAAATTTATGCAATGTAATAAATTTTACACACTGAAACACAATGACAAATATTATTGTAGCCAACTGCAGTATAGTGTAGAACAGTAAAAATCTTAATGGAAGGTTCACTTCATTCTATGTCATTAAAAGCTCCAAAAACTCCCTGTCATGATTCAGCAGATTGATCTGGTCATCAGGTGAGACCACGACATCAGCTTTCGGGCCCTAAAATTTAAACAACCCCACTTTTTAATCTCACTTTCTACCATTAATTCCTACGGTAAAAGTGAAATTGATATCAAGAGTGATCTAGTATACGTTTGATGGAATCCAGGCGTGGACTAAACGTTATAGTAATATTTCACGTAATGTGTGAAACACTTTGATAAGTCTCACTTTTTCTAATGGGATTAATAGGGGATATACACATGTATGAGACTTAGATTAAAAGTATGCTCATCTCAGTTTTAAGGCCCCGGAGCCAGACTGTTAATATGGCCAGACAGAATCATTCAAAGCAAAAGCAGTGGTACCTACTCATGGGGCAGAAAAGATGTGGTGTGCATCCCCCTTTGTAATATCCTTGATGTTCAGGAATCTAACAAGCAGATTCATTTCCTGAATCATAACGGGGAATAATTTGTCCACTAACTAAAAATTGCAATTGGTTTCAGTAGATCTGTACGAATGATTGTAGAGACAGATCCTGACAACAAATTAAGGTGTCCATAAGTTCCCAAACATCGTATCACTTATTTTGCCTTTAATATATCTCTTTGAATGCCTGGGCCAGGAATCACCTGGGTTAGTTCTCTGTGCATGATTGTCAATTGAGCGGTTTTGGACATGGTACTCCTCAAGTGCAAAACTGTAGCTTTATGGTTTTTCTGCTTTGTTTTTGCATTTAGATAATTAAGTATAAAAATCATTATGCTACAATTCTTCAGCTAGGCATTCTTCTCCTCCATAAATATATCTGCACAGTTTCTTTCGACCAGTTTACTTTTTATGCTTTCATCTTTTCATTTCTTTTTTTTCCTTCAAATCGACCCTAACTTTTTGATCAACAAAAAACAACTAATAATAAATTAACTCTCTTTAACTACGCCTAGCTTGAGTCATTTAAACTGCACTTACACATTGTTTTGTGGACATGCACCCCATTTTAATTAAGCCTTTTTCTTTTTTTTTTGTTAACAATCAAAGGTGGAGAACACATAGAAATAAAAGAAAATATGTAAATACACTCGAAAAACATATGGAACTCGAACTTCATGTTTTTTAACAAAAATGGTCAGGGTAGGGTAATTACACATAAGCAAGTAAGCAACTAGGAATTGATGTTAAGGTTTTTTTTTTTAACTTTTTGAAATAATAAAAGTGGGGACAAAAATGAAAAGAATTTATTTGTTTGTTTGTTGCGTAACGTCCATCTCCAGAATATTTCTCTCATATATGGAGATGCCACCACTTGCCGATGGAGGGCTGTAAATTTTGTCCTATACTCGACACTCAGGGCCAATAAGGATTGACGGATCTTTTTCGTGCCACTGCGACACGGGACATCGGTTTATACGGTTTCATTCGAAGAACCGGTCTCCACGTCCCACACTTGACTTCGAGCCCGCGATGTAAGGATCGAGACCTTACTCCGCAACTCTAGAGCAGACGCTCTAACCACTGTGCCACGCGGCCGACTTTATAAGAATTCAAAATATTACAATGTATATTTTTTAGAACAATTATACACATCTCCAAATCAATTGAAGAAACATGTAGGTATAATTGAACTAAACTTATCATCAATTCATTTGTGGATAGTTAAAACTTTGAAGATAGGTACAAATAACTACAGGTCCCTTTTTTGATGTTCATTCTGACAACTGTTATTTGACTGTATTGAGGTTACAGCTATATATCTATGGTTTACTGATGTATAAAAGGTTGGTACCATTATACGTTATATCTTGAACTACCATCGCCATGACTGCTTCAATTTTTGGAAAATACTCTTTGATTAATTGTCACAATAATCATATATTTTTAGAATTCAAATCATGATTACATGTATTATCAAACATTATATTTCTCGTCTCTATAAAAAACGATTATGTCCAAAAATGATTAGTACAAAATCAAGTAATTATAAGTTTAATAAAACCTAATACATGTATAAGCTTTTAAGATCTAAAGTCCTATTGAAACATGATTAGCATATCTGTCATAATCTCCAATAATTTTTTGGTAGTATATTTGCATTTATATTTAATTCATTTAATAAAATTTACACTCTGTATTGAAATACAATGGCAAGTCCTTTATGGTACCCCAACCACAGTATAAACTAACAATAGTAAAGTTCACTTCATCATCTGTCAGTTAAAACTTCTGAAACTCCCTGTCTGGACTCGTCGGATGGATCTGTGTGTTAGGTGGGTCTGTAACAAGGATATGACAGTGGACATACACTAGGACATCCGGTCTAAAGCTTAATGTCTAATTTTAGACCATATACATTCTACGACCTGAGCTCAAACACTTTGACAAGTCCTTCCCCGTATCCAACCCACAGGGTAGATTTGTATAGTGATAATCTGACTGGATGGTTCAGTTCATTGTCTGTCAGTAAGAACTTCAGAAACTTTCCGCGAAGACTCAGTAGATGGATCTGTTTGTTGTAAAGGTCAGTAACAAGGATGTTACAGAGGGAGTCACACACTACATCAGCTGGCTTAAAGTTTTCTGTCAGATTCTGTCCACGGTAGACAGACTTCATACGACCAGAGGGAGACATTAATACTAGTTCACTTGTATTGAGACTTTTAAAGTTCACAACACAGATATCACTGTTACTGTTCTGTGTGACTATGAATGGCAATGTAAACAGTCTGGTCTGACAGTCCTCCTGGTACTCATACTCATGGATGACATCACCTGGCACTGTGATGTGTCTCACCAGACGTCTGCTGTGTGACTCTAATTTGTAAAGATCTGATTCAATGTCTCTCATGGTGACCAGTAGTCCACCATCCACTGACTGGCAGATTCCTAATGGTCGCAGTGGATCTGTACTGATGACTGTAAAGACCGATCCTGATGGTGAAAGACATCTGATGGAAAAGTTGATATGATCGGCAAAATAAACGTCACCGTTATCAGTCAAATACATGTCATTGGCAGTGGTATCACATTTACGTTTTTTCTCACCTTATTTGTTTACTTGTTCTATCTTTTCTGAAAACTTTTGTTTAATGTAACATTTATCTTCACACGATGCCCTCAACAGAGATACTGTTTTCTCCCCATATTCAAATGAGCTTGTTACAGTCAAACAGATATCATCTAAATTAATAGACTTTCCAATTAAATTATCCAGTGCTGCATAACTGACTTCTCCTTTAATGTATCTCAATGAAGGTGTACTACACTTCATATCAACATCAAGGCCAGAAAGCAATCTTGTCAGGTTTCTGTGGTTGTCAATGAAGCCGTAATCTGACATGGTATTTTTATTTTCCTCCAGGAACTTAACCATTTCTTCGATTTCTTTCTTCGTTTTGTTTAATTCAGATTTAGCAACATCCAAATCTTCATTGAATTTCTTTAAATTGTCTCTAAATTGTTGTTCCTGATCTTTCTTGATGATTGTTAGCCTGGCCATTACCTCATCAAAATGTTTCTGGAGTTTTTGTATCTCAGAGTCACACAGTTCTTTATTTTCTTTGATCTGTTGTGGAATCTTCTCTATCTTCTTATCAGCCACAGGCAGATCATCGTCTTTGACCTTCTTCAGAAATTTAAGCAGGCCCCTCCTTCTTTGCGTGGCCGCCGCGGGTATAGTGTACCATTCATGATCTTTATGATCTGTTTTGGCACACTTGCCACAAATAAATTCATCACAGTCCTCACACATCATATCAATAGGTAAATGATGGGTTTTACACATTTCAATATGCTCTTGAGGAGAGCCAAGTTGATATTTTGGTTTACTGGCCGCCATGTTTGTTGAATGTTGCGTACCTTTCTACACGGATGACCTAGTAATAAGATAAAAATGAGCTGCATATTAGACTTTAAACTCGTATTCCTTTTCGCCAAGATAGTCAATGAAGGTACAGCGACACTTGATCAATTTATCATCAAATTGAGATACCGTAAAGACTTTGATAACAATAAACATGACAAAACCAGGATGAAAATGTATTCTGCATAAATATCAGCTAATTCAGCGACAAAATTCATTGAAATGTAAAACATTTAACCAGTATATCGTATTATTTTTTAATTAAGATTATTTTCCTTTTATTTTGCTGTGTCAAGAACTTATTACATTTCTTATTTAAAACCTTTAAAGCCGCTTAATCCGAAACAGGCACATATTATCTTACCCAATAAAAGTACATCATTTCACAGAAAAAATATATAAATACATTATTAGATTGATTTAAAAGTTTATTAAAACAATCCTTACAAGGAAAACGTCTTAAAAACCTTACTGACAAACAGAAGTTCCTGACGGGAAGTTAAGATCTCGCTATTTACAAATTCTTAAAGTCACCTTTGAAAAAAAAAATATCGGTTATATCTAATTATGAATAACAAACCCGAGTATTTTTTCATTAATAGAAGCCTAAGTAATATAATATTTCTTTTCAAAAAAGAAATCAATTGAATATAATACTCAGTAATTTTTATATTAATATAAACATTAAATGGAATAAAGGAAAATCAGATATTTTTAAAGATTTTTTTAAAAGGAAGTTTAGTAACAAAGGCTAACATTTTATACGTATACAGATATAAGTACTTTGTTGTGAAAAAGAAATGCTCGGGTTTGTTCTTTATAATAAGATATAAGCGATAAATTTAATTTGTCAAATTTCATGCCATTGCAAATAGTGCTATCGTCATAAGATTATTTTTTCTGTGACCTAATAAAAATTATGCTTTTAACTTTTGAATTTTGGTATCTTTTAAAAGAAAAAGACTGGGGATATAATATGACAAAAGTTGAAACAATTTATGGACAATTATTTTTCATAAAGAAAACGAATGTATTTTTTCGCGATTAGAATCGGACTAAGTGACATTAAATTTTGTGCAATTTATTCACTAAGTATACTGGAATTTTTTAAACGGCCATTTTTTAGAATTTGATTTACAATGACATGGTAAAGCTATCTGTGCTTCTACGATGACATTAACAGCAGCAGACTACCCAAGGAGGAAACACGTTTAGAAGGCAAGAGTTACTTATGTATGATGTAGGCGTGTACATTGTTGG